TGTGAAAGTGTTTATACTTCATCAATAAAATAACATATAAATGACATGATTACTGGTTTTTAGTCAACTGATACAGGGTTCACAAAATCATACCACCTACTACTTTTACAACCAAGAATGTTTATCTGTTTTCCTTTTGGATTTGAGTTTGCAATCTTCAATTTGCCTTAACTTGGGATGATTCTTACAGAAATATTGGGGAGCATTGGGAGGTATCGCTTAAAAGTGGATGAGGAAAATAACCGTAGTTGGAATGCCACGACAAGAGTCTCTGACTCTAATGCTCTTTGTAAATTCTAGAGAACAGTTTATGAACACAGGAAGAAGAAAAGCTAAATGGGAATGGAAGAAGCCAATGCCAAATATGGTGCTTAGGATGGTTATTTGAAGGACTTGTCTCTTATAAAGTAGCTACTGGTGACCTTTTTCATGATGGCTGGACAAATCTTCTTTAATCCATTTCTAAAAGGTGTAGAGGTCCAAGAATTGGGGCCTCTGGAATGCTTGAGTCATAAACACATGGCAACCCATCTCAGCTGGGGAAGCCGAGAGACTGCAAAAGGGAGGAGGCAGCCCCAGCAGTGCAGGTCCCCAGGAAGCAGTTGTCGTTGGAAAGAGGGAAGAGCAGCAGAAGCAACATAAAGTGGCTTCTCCTCCCAAGAACTCATAGAGACTCAGTAATGTCAAATTATGAGTGTACTTCGTACAACTGAATTTGTCTTCATTCATGACTTTTCTCTATTGTGGCACATTTCTGCTGACAATAGAAAGTGAAATTGCCATTTTTAAGGTCAGTCAGTCACTTTCAGTTTAAAATGGTGTACTTCGTACAACTGAATTTGTCTTCATTCATGACTTTTCTCTATTGTGGCACATTTCCGCTGACAATAGAAAGTGAAATTGCCATTTTTAAGGTCAGTCAGTCACTTTCAGTTTAAAATGCAATCTCTTTCTTTTCTAAACTTAGACGCTATGGCACTCCCTTGCCAGAGAGAGGAGAAGAGTGTCAGGCCACTGCGTTGATCTCTGGTTCTTGCTGAGCCTTTCTGAGATCACTCTGCCTAGCCTTGTGTCTTAGTCCATCTGACTGGGTAATTTATAAAGAACAGAAATTTATTTCTTACAGTTCTGGAGTCTGGGAAGTCTGAGATCAAGGCACCAGCATTTTTGTCTGGTGAGGGCTGCTCCCTGCTCCCAAGAGGACACCTTGTTGCTGTGTCCTCACATGAAGGAAGGCAGAAGGGCAAAAGAGAGTACTCCTTTTAACCTGGACCCCTTATATAAGGGTGCTAATCCCATAGAAGGTTGATAATCACCTCCCAAAGGCCACACCTCTTAATACTGTTGAATTGAGGATTAAATTTTTACATGAATTTTGGAAGGGCACCATCATTCAAACTATAGCATCTTGGGTACCAGCCTCCTTCCCAGCTGCATCTGGTACTACATCCTCATCCCAGCCTCAGGCCCCTGGGGATTCCCAGTTGTCTCAGAAATCTGCTTTTTCCTTGCATCTGGACCATGCAGGTTTTTGTGAATATGTCCTCATCTGCCCACTTGGCACCTTGGGCACTATTTTCTTGTTTTAGAAGAGGGATTTTCTGAGAGTTATATATTATCTCTGGGCTACATCTGGGTCGGTGAGGCATGTTGTCCTCTGCCAGACTCTAGTAGTTTCTGTCTCTCCCTAGAAGTTTCTTATCCCCTGGACCCATTAATAGTTTCTGTCATTTCCCATTCTGGGGTTTGGGCTGGAGGTTTCAGGTTGGGTCCTGGGTCCTTTCTCAAGGGCTGTATTAGTCAGGGGTCTCTGGAGAAATAGAGCCAATAGAAACAGAACTGAGAGAGAGAGAGAGAGAGAGAGAGAGAGAGATTGAGATTTATTTTAAGGAACTGATTTATGGGATTGTGGAGACTGGCAAGTCCCAATTCTCCAAGGTAGGCTGAAAAGAAAAAAAAAAAGGAGCATTGCTAGATGGAGGACTGGTATACCAAGGGGGGATGGAAAAGCAAGAAAGACCAACAGTCAGTATCATCCTATTCCAGTGCCACCAAAATCATGCCACCTGCACTCGATAACATCCCCCCCCCTTTTTTTAGTTACAAAGTTATATGTGCTTGCTGAGAAAAAAGTCAATCAAAACAGAAGTGTATAATGTAGAAAATAAGTTCTTTGTCTCCTCCCACTTCCTGGGTGTAGTTCCAAATACAGTTCTTCCAGATTTGTGTACAAATGTGCTAATCAGTGCAAATATGTGTTTTATTTTGTTTAAAAAAGGTTCCCCTTTTTACTGTATATATTTAAGGTGTACAACACGATGTTTTGATATACATACAAGGGGTCTTAAAAAAGTTCATGGAAGGATTCATATTATCTTTTCATTTAATTTTTCCATGAACTTTTTGGTCTTTTTTTTTTTTTTTTGTGACCGGTAAGGGGATCGCAACCCTTGGCTTGGTGTCACCCGCACTGCACTCAGCCAGTGAGCGCACCTGCCATCCCTATATAGGATCTGAACCCTGGGCGGGAGCGCCACTGCACTCCCACCGCTGTACTCTCCTGAGTGTGCCACGGGGTCGGCCCTCCATGAACTTTTTGAAGTAACCTGTATACATAGTATAACGATTACTGAAGTCAAGCAAATTAACATATACGTAATCTCACATAGTTACCTGTGTGTATGTGTGTGTGTGGTAAAATACCTAAAATCTACTCTCTTAGCAAATTTAGTATAGAATATAAGGGCACTTTAAAAAGTTTATGGAAAAATTGAATTAAGAGATAATATGAATCCTTTCATGAACTTTTTCAAGACCCCTTGTATTTTTAACTATAGTCCTCATGATGTGCATTAAATCTCTAGGTTTATTTATTCTGCATAACCTAAACTTTGTACCTTTTGACCTCAATCTCCTTATTTCCCCCACCCCTGATAACCACTGTTCTACACTCTGTTTCTGTGTATGCAAGTTTTCTTGATTGTTTTTTAAGAGTTCACGTATAAGTGAGATCATGCAGTGTTTTTCTTCCTTTGTCTGGCTTATTACATTTGGTGTAATGTCCTCCAGGTTCTTCCACATTTTGGCAAATGACAGGGCCTCATTCTTTTCTAAGGCTGAATGATATCGTATTGTGTATATACACCACAATTTTTTTTTAATCCATTCACCTGTTGACAGATGCTTAGGTTATTTTCATATCTTGGCTATTGTGAATTACGCAGCAATGAACATAGGTGTGCAGATATCTTTATGAGGTGGCAATTTTATTTCCTTTGGCTATGTACCCAGAAGAAGGATTGCTAGGTTGTAACGTAGTTCTGTTTTTAATTTCTTTAGGAACCTCCATACTGTTTTCCATAATGGCTGTACCAGTCTAAATTCCCACCAACACCTAGTGTACAAGGGTTGTGTTTTCTCCACACCCTCACCAACACTTGTTATCACTTGTCTTTTTGATAATAGCCAACCTAACAGGTGTGAGTTGATATCTTACTGTGGTTTGATTTCCCTGATGATTAGTGATGTTAAAGAACCTTTTCATGTACTTGTTGGCCATTTTTGCTTCTTCTGTGGAGAAATGTCTAATCAGGTCCTTTGCCCATTTTTTGGATTGGATTATTTGTTTTCTTTGCTGTTGAGTTCTATATTTTGGACACTAATTCTTTATCTGACATATGGCTCGCAAGTATTTTCTCCCAATTCATTGGCTGCCTTTTCACTGCATTCATTGTTTCCTTTGCTCTGCAGTAGCTCTGTAGTTTGTTGTAGTCCCACTTATTTATTTTTGTTTTTATTGCCTGTGTTTTCAGTGAGATATTCAAAAAAATTTTTGCCAAGGCTAATATCAAGGAGCCTTTTCTTTCCCCTACATTTATTTCTAGGAGTTTTATATTTTCAGATGTTATGTTTAGGTCTTTAATCCATTTTGGGTCGATTTTTGCATATGGTGCAAGGTAAGGGACCAATTTTATTCTTTTGCATGTGGATATCCAGTTTTCCCAGCTCCATTTATTGGAGAGACTGTCCTTTCCCCATTGCATGTTCTTGGTGGCCTTGTCAAAAATTAGTTGACTGTATACGCTCGGGTTCATTTCTCTTCTTTTTATTCTGTTCCATTGGTGTGTGTGTCTGTTTTTATAAAGGCATGATTTTTTACTGCATATGTATTGTACCTCCATTAATTTGACTGCGTTCATTTCTCTTCTTTTTATTCTGTTCCATTGGTGTGTGTATCTGTTTTTATAAAGGCATGATTTTTTACTGCATATGTATTGTACCTCCATTAATTTGACTGAAAACAAACAAACAAAATTTCCCTGATTAAGCCAATGAGCTCCTTTCTTTTTGTGCATATTTGATTTGCTCTCTTTAGCTTCAGCATAAGTCCTTGCTGCTCCTGCCCCAGCCCCTAATGACATGCAGCACTTGGTTTATTGAGTGAGGATCTGCTCTCATGCCCTTACTTCATAGGAGTAATGTCTCATTTTCGTCTCTCAGAGCATCCTGTACATAATTCTAAAGCAACGGTAGGAGTGATAGGAAGCAACTGCTGTTACCAGCTTCTCCGTACCAGGCTCTGTTCTAAAGGCCTTACCTTTATCCATTCTCTCCTTCCTTCTGACAACCCTTTATGAGAGGTTCCATTACTGTCTCTATTTTACAGGTGAGGAAGCAGATGCACAAGGTCACTTGCCAGCACCCCTCTGTCTGGGGTTTGAAGGCCAGGTCATGCTCTCAGTGCTGTGCTTAACCAGCTCTGGCCTTATCCTTAGTATCACTTCTCTCACCGCCAGCAGGGAGATCACGGCCCTCGTGGCTGCTCTGCGTGACAGAGGAGACATGGATTGTGCATCGCCGGTTTCACTCCCCACCCCCAATTGCTTCTACAGGGAACCCCCGAGGAGAGGCAAGAGGAATCCAACTCTGCAGACCAGGCTTGATTTTGGCAACACTGTTGATTCGGTTTGGAAAATCCAGCTACGTAACAGTCTCTCTGCCTTTGCCTGTGATGCAAGTTCGTTCACTCCGTGCTGAGACCACATCCTTCCTGCCCCTGCTGGGTCTGGGATTGCTATAAATTCATCACATTTCCTCTCTGGCTGTTTCTGAGGCTGGCATCTGGGTGAGTCCAGCTCTGTGGAGCAGGGTAGATGAAAGGACTGGGGAGGAATGGGGAGGGTGTGTTGAGGGGGTAGAACTTGTCTTGGTTAACGGACTAGGAATTTCTTCTTCTAGCCTCCAAGTCTGTCCTTCAACAACATTTCAATAACATTTCTATAATGTTTTTATGTTTATCATTTTTTGGGCCTTCTGTTTTCAAGTGCGTGTGTGCGTGTGTGTGTATGTGTGGGCGAGGGGTGAGGACGGGGCAGCAACCACAGGTTGCACCCAGGACTTCAGCAGATTTGCCTGGCCTCCTGCCAGGGGAGCAGATGGGATGCATCTGAGGAAATTGTGTGTGTGTGTATGTGTGGGCGAGGGGTGAGGACAGGGCAGCAACCACAGGTTGCACCCGGGACTTCAGCAGATTTGCCTGGCCTCCTGCCAGGGGAGCAGATGGGATGCATCTGAGGAAATGAGCCTCCTGAGAAACCAAGGGGAGGTAAGGATCAAAGTGGAGTGTGCTAGGGTGAGGGCTGAGGAGCACAGAGGAGAGGAGAATCCTGATGTGGATGGAAAGATTGATATGGCAGGAGCTGGGAGGGTCTACAGACCTGGAGAACCTGTCTGAAGACCACTCCTCCCAAAATGTATAAAGGGCTGGTCTTGGGGGGCACATGAAACCAGGAACGGAGAGGCACGAATGGAGATAGAATAGGGATTGATGAGTGAGTTCGAAGTGTCTTGAACATTGAACTGTGGTCACATAAATTCCAGTTTGGAGAGTTTTACCATTTTCCAGGTCCTCTCCCTCCCTGTAGCATTATTTGTGGCTTTGGGTTGATGGAGTGCTTTGCCAAATACAGTAAAATGAAGGAATCAGGTACTGCTATGCTGTGACCACAGTTACTCACCTCCTGGCTTCCTCCTCTTTAGGCTCCTCATCCATATGCCTTCAGGTCAAAACAGAAGCAAAGAACCAGAGCCTTCAGTTGGAAGGCAATTGAAGGCAATCTCTTCTGCTCTCTCATTTTATAGATGAGGAAATTAAAGTTAGGAATAGTGATGAGTATGTCCAGGGTCATAGCCCAGAAATCAAAGAGTCTGAAGTTTTCTTGGTGATATGTGAAGGGGGCATCATGAAGTGGTGGTTCACTGTAATATGATCATGTTTATGGGTTTATTTATTTCTCTCCATAGGGAAACCTTTCTTCCATGGCTCAGGACACACTTCTGGATCCAAACCAACAGGAGACCTATCTGGTAAGGATTTGCTCACCTTTCAAAATTAAAGATGGTGACTCATAGTCACTAGAAATTTTTTTCCTTTGAGTTTTCTGAGTTTTTGTTAATTAGTTCTCTTTGAAAGGAGACTTTAAAAAAGACTCTTTTTATCCATATGCTGTTTTCGCTGCCTGGTTTCCCAGTGTGGACCTAAGTCCAAGGACCTTGAGAAAGGCTGCAGATGAAGATGGAAAGCATCCGCTGCAAGCTGTCCCGTTACCTGGAGGACCTGGAGGATGTGGACTTAAAGAAATTCAAAATGCATTTAGAAGACTATCCTCCTCAGAAGGGCTGCATCTCGCTCCCGAGGAGTCAGACGGAGAAGGCAGACCATGTGGATCTAGCCACCTTGATGATTGACTTTAATGGGGAGGAGAAGGCGTGGGCCATGGCTGTGTGGATTTTTGCTGCAATCAACAGGAGAGACCTTTACGAGAAAGCTAAGAGGGATGAGCCAGAATGGGGTGAGTAGAAGGAAGACAATTTTTTTTTAACTATGGTAAACATAATTTACCATCTTAATAATTTTTGAGGCCAGCCAATTAGCTCACTTGGGAGAGCATAGTGCTGAGAACACCAAAGTCAAAGATTTGGATCCCCATACTGGCCGACCTCCCGCAAAAAAAGAATAAAATTAAAAAATTAAAATTAAAAAAAAATTTAAAAATAATCAGTTTTAAGTGTATAGTTCAGAAGTATTAAGTACAGTCATGTTATTGTGCAACCAACCTCCAGAACTCTTTTTATCTTGCAGAACTGAAACTGCTTACCCATTAAACAACTGCTCCCCATTGCTTCATCCCCCAGCCCCTGGCAACTACCATTCTAATTTCTGTCTGTATAAATTTGACGACTCTCGGTACCTCATCTAAGTGGAATCATACAGCATTTGTCTTTTTGTTACTGGCTTATTTTACTCAGCATAATGTTTTCAGGGTTCACCCATGTTGTAGTGTGTGTGAGGATTTCCTTCTTTTTAAGACTGAATAATATCCATTGTATGGATATACCACATTTTGTTTATTCATCTGTCAATTGGTACTTGGGTTACTTCCACCTTGAGCATTGGCAAATATCTCTTCAAGACCCTGCTTTGAATTATTCTGGATTGCACAGAAGTGGAAGTTATGGACCATATGGTAATTCTATGTTTAGTCTTTTTGAGGAACTGCCGTACTGCTGCCCCATTTTATATTCCCACCAACAGTGAATAAGGGTTCTGATCTCTCCATGTCCTTATGGACACTTTTTTTTTGGTGGGGGGAGAGTAGCCATCCTAATGAGAATGTGGTGGTATCTCATTGTAGTTTTAATTTGAATTCCCCTAATGATTAGTGATGTTGAACATCTTTTCATGTGCTTGTTGGGCATTTGTATGTCATCTTTGGAGAAAGATCTGTTCAAGTCCATTTTCCATTTTTAAATCAGGTTGTTTTTCTAAATCAGCTGGCCAGTACAGGAATCGAACCCTGGACCTTGATATTATCAGCACCATGCTCTAACCAACTGAGGTAACTGGCCAGCTCTTTCCATGAATTTTTTGAAGACCCCTTGTATAATGGTGCCTGTGTCTCACCTCAGACTGAAAAAGAATTGCAGAGGGCAGGGTCCTGGAGTTGGTGTTCATAAAGCTTCCTAGGTGGGGCCAGCCTGGTGGCACACTGGAGAGTGCGCTGCTTGGGAGCGTGGCGGCGCTCCCGCCGAGGGTTCAGATCCCATGTGGAGATTGGTTCCCGCTCACTGGCTGAGCGCGGTGCGGGTGCAACACCGAGGGTTGCGATCCCGTTACCGGTCAGTAAAAAAAGACAAAAAGGAAAAAAAAAAAAAAGCTTCCTAGGTGAATCGAAAGTCAGCCAGGATTCTGAACTACTGAATTAGACATAAAACAGATTAGTAATTCTCACTCTTGAAGACACAGGAATCTACACTTGAAAGCACCAGACATGGGAAAAAATGGATTACAGGCATTTGGGATCAGGGAAGGGTGATCCTTCTTGGCTCATGACCATCTTGGAGGTAGTGGAGAGCTTTTGCCAAAGACGAAGGAGGATAAAACAAACATTGTCTGCCAAACATGTTTGCCAACTGATACCTGGGCCTGGGAAAGAGATTCTGAGACTGGATACAATGAGGACCAAATGCTTCGCAGGTGGGAGACAGCCATTGCTTTCAAATTAGGAGCGCAGGAACACTCCCAACTGTACCTGACTGTGTACCTCCACCTGCAACTCTGAGCCATGTTTTGATTTGGGAGATGTCTGGGGCAGGTGCCTTTGACCCGTGCCAGGTATTAGGCTGGGTGTCAGTTTCATCCTGTGGTTAAGAGTTCTGGTTTTTGACACTTTGTATTTTTTTCCTTTTATGTTCAGATAATGCACATGTTTCTAATCCCACTGTGATATGCCGGGAAGAGAGCATTGAAGAGGAGTGGATGGGTTTACTGGGATACCTTTCCAGAATCTCTATCTGTAAAAGGAAGAAAGGTAAGCAATAAGGGTGGTGCTTCCAGTTGGGTTTCAGACCTGGTTAGGAGGTGCTGGAAAGCTGAGTAGCTGGGAAGCTTGGCCATTCTACACGTTCCTGCTTTTTGGGTGCAAAGGCCTGTCTCAGGAATGCACTGTCAGCTGAAGAAACACATTTATGTTTGCACGGCTCCTTGCAGTCCCAGAACCAAGGGGAGGTGAGTAAGTGCTTGCAGTTTTAAAAGGCATGGGCTGCAGACTACGCAAAGGAATAAGATTGGACAAAAAGGATTTTCTCTCTGGTGGCTGCACTTACAGCACTGTCTTCTGTTCAAGTGTATAGATGAAAAATTCACCAGAGTTTCTGGGACCTTCTATATCTAAGCAAGTAGAGAGAAACCACACCTCTCAATCACAGGGCCCTGTTTATAGCTCATCTGAGGTAGATGTGTGTGGGCTGTTCCCAAAGTCTAACTTTCCGTCTCTGTTGTAGATTACTGTAAGAAGTACAGAAGACATGTGAGAAGCAGATTTCAGTGTATCGAAGATAGGAATGCCCGACTGGGTGAGAGCGTGAACCTCAACAAACGCTACACCAGGCTGCGTCTCGTCAAGGAGCACCGCAGCCAGCAGGAAAGGGAGCATGAGCTTCTGGCCATTGGCAGGACCTCAGCCAAGACATGGGACAGCCCTATGAGTCCCATTAAAATGGAATTGCTGTTTGATCCCGATGATGAACACTCAGAGCCTGTGCACACGGTGGTGTTCCAGGGAGCAGCAGGCATTGGGAAAACAATACTGGCCAGGAAGATTATGTTGGACTGGGCGTCAGGGAAACTCTACAAGGACAGGTTTGACTATTTGTTCTACATCAACTGTCGGGAGGTGAGCCTCGTGACACAGAGGAGTCTGGGGGACCTCATTGTTAGCTGCTGCCCTGATCCCAACCCACCCATATGCAAGATCGTAAGCAAGCCCTCCAGGATCCTCTTCCTCATGGATGGCTTCGATGAGCTCCAAGGTGCCTTTGACGAGCACATAGGGGCACTCTGCATGGACTGGCAGAAGGCCGAGCAGGGGGACATTCTCCTGAGCAGCCTCATCAGAAAGAAGCTGCTTCCTGAGGCCTCTCTGCTCATCACCACCAGACCTGTGGCCCTGGAGAAGCTGCAGCATTTACTGGACCATCCTCGTCACGTGGAGATCCTGGGTTTCTCAGAGGCCAAAAGAAAGGAGTATTTCTTCAAGTATTTCTCAGATGAGGCACAAGCCAGGGAAGCCTTCAGGCTGATTCAGGAGAACGAGATCCTCTTCACTATGTGCTTTATTCCCCTGGTCTGTTGGATTGTGTGCACTGGACTAAAACAGCAGATGGAGAGTGGCAAGAGTCTTGCCCAGACGTCTAAGACCACCACTGCAGTATATGTCTTTTTCCTTTCCAGTTTGTTGCAGTCTGGAGGAGGGAGCCAGAACTGCCTCTCTACCTACCTCTGGGGGCTCTGCTCTTTGGCCGCAGATGGAATCTGGAACCAGAAAATCCTATTTGAGGAGAGTGACCTCAGGGATCATGGTCTGCAGAAGGTGGATGTGTCTGCTTTCCTGAGGATGAACCTGTTCCAAAAGGCAGTGGACTGTGAGAAATTCTACAGCTTCATCCACATGACTTTCCAGGAGTTCTTTGCTGCCATGTACTACCTCCTGGAAGAGGAGGAAGACGGGGGGATGAGGAATGTACCAAAGAGTTGTCCAGAGCTTCCAAACCGAGATGTGACGGTCCTTCTTGAAAACTATGGCAAGTTTGAAAAGGGGTATCTGATTTTTGTTGTCCGTTTCCTCTTTGGTCTTGTAAACCAGGAGAGGACCACCTACTTGGAGAAGAAACTAAGTTGCAAGATTTCTCAGCAGATCAGGCTGGAGCTGCTGAAATGGATTGAAGAAAAAGCCAAGGCCAAGAAGTTGCAGATCCAGCCCAGCCAGCTGGAACTTTTCTACTGTTTGTACGAGATGCAAGAGGAGGACTTTGTGCAAAGGGCCATGGACCACTTCCCCAAAATTGAGATCAGTCTCTCCACTAGAATGGACCATGTAGTTTCTTCTTTTTGTATTGAGAACTGCCATCGTGTGGAATCACTTTCCCTGGGGTTTCTCCATAACTCACCCAAGGAGGAGGAGGAGGAGGAGGAGGACGATCGACACCTTGACGTGGTCCAGTGTATCCTCCCAGGACACACTGACTATTCTCATCATGCTGACTATTCTCATCGGTAAGGAAATCCAGTTTCAGGCAGATGAGAGAATGTGCCCTCTGCTTTCTGACCACCTTTTTCTTGGCACTTGCTTCCTCTCCTTTCTTTTCAACTATCTTCCAAGTGCAGTTGCCTCAGCTGCATAATAATGCCACCACCACCCATTTCTAACAGACCCCTTCACTGGCAGAGATTGACTTGGGCCAGGTGGATAAATGGGATGAGGAAAAAACCAATCAAACAAGAAACAGATGCTTGGGGAATGCCAGTTCAGTACAAGGTATTAGGTGGAAGGTAGGGTTGAATACACATATTTATAAATTTAAATTGGAGCTCTAGTGCATTATAGCCAATCAGTGCCTACGGGGCAAACCAACTTCAGAGACTCTGTATTAGAACACAGAGGACAGAGAGGCTCTCAGAACTGGAAGCTGGGGGAGGTTTCTCAGAGGAGTGAAGTTTGAGCCTGCCTTGAAAGATGGGTAAATTTAAATTGGAGCTCTAGTGCATTATAGCCAATCAATGCCTACAGGGCAAACCAACTTCAGAGACTCTGTATTAGAACACAGAGGACAGAGAGGCTCTTAGAACTGGAAGCTGGGGGAGGTTTCTCAGAGGAGTGAAGTTTGAGCCTGCCTTGAAAGATG